AATAATAGAGACGTGGATGGCTATATTTGTATGTATCTGTTTGTGTGTGTGTAAGACAGGCAGGGACAAAGAGAGGGATGCTTTCAGTGCGTCTTTAGTCACACTGTTTCAACATGTCATTCATGTAGACGAGTGTATTAAACAATCACTCTGAAACAGTGAGTTTCGTCTGCACTCTGGAGACTGAACCATGGTGAAAATGGACTCTGGTGGAGTTTTAAATGTGGCTCCCGGTTCAGTGTTGGGATCGCTGGAAGCGTAAGACCCGGAACTGATGTGGCTTTGACATTTGAAATGTCACTGGGAGTGAAGGCTTTTAGGCTGCAGCTGGGTCATTTGGCCACAGACGCTCTCATGCAATTCATATACAGACAATGGTGAATCACTGTGGGAGAGGAGATCACATGTACGACTAACAGTAAAACAGTGAATCATCTGCACAAAATCTGTCTGTGGCTTCATTTATAGCAAGTTGAACTAAATATTGTGTTTTTATTTAAAGCGGCTTTAATCAGTACTTTTATAATAACAATGCATTGAAAGACAATTGTGAAAGCTTTACAGTGAGTTTCAGTTCATTGTTTAGTCTGTATGGGCCAGAACTTAACTATTTTGGTTCACTCTCATCATTCTCATTGCATTGTGATTCGGCATGCAGCAGGCCTGTATAACCTGCACCCCTCACACTACCTGGCTCAGCACCTAAACGGGCAAACAGACTCAATTAAAGACTAGCTGGGTGAACATACGGAGCAATTGAGCAGCTAAAGAACCAGATATTTCCCTCAAAGAGTTAGAGGACTAAAAACACAGCTACAAAAAAGTGAATATAGGACTTACATTCATATGGTGGACACAACACAAAAATAACATGATAATGATGCTCTCGTAACTGCTGATGTGCTAAAATAAGCAACTGTTTGCCTAACAAGTTCACTATATCAACTTAAAATGGGATGATATGTCAATGTTGTTTTAACACTTCATTTAGTAATCCACCTACAGATAGTTTATACTATTTGTAACTGTTTCACAGATTGTGTGACATTCATCAACACAACCAAGATGATTTTGAGGTGTAAACCTAACCAAGCCTTAACCTAAACCTTGTTTGTGTGTGTGTGTGTGTGTTGTGTGTGTGTGTGTTGTGTGTTGTGTGTGTGTGTTGTGTGTCTGTGTGTGTGTTGGTGTGGTGTTCTTTTGTTATGTGTGTGTGTGAGTGAGTGTTCATCAGTAATAATGAAAACATAAATAAATACTGATCTGTAACAAACTTTACCACACACACACAGACAGTACATGTAACTCACTGTGTTGTGGGCGTGCCTGGGTACGAAGATCCGGTTGCACTGTGGTTCCTGTCTGTCTGTCTGTCTGTGAAGCTGGAACCACACAACACAACATTTCTGCCTCTCGGAGGATTTTCTAGGACACACAAACACACACAGAGACGAGGATGAGCAACAGTTTTCTTTTACTTAAGAATGGAATAAAAAGGACGACCCGGTTTGAATTATTACCACCGTTGTCTTCTGGTGACTGCGAAGGCCACAGCAGATGATTAATATAATTTTTATCAAACTATTTGCTGACCCCTCATATCCTGTATGGAAGCATTTACAATCATTACGCTTTCCAACTCATTTATTCTGGTTTTTCCTTTAATTTGTAATTTGCCTCTATATTGCACGCCCTTCTTTGTTTACCTGACAAAGCCTGAAGATCTCGGTGAGATCAAAGTGCTGGCCTATTACATTTATTGGCACAGATTAGCACCTTGTCTGTTTTTCAGCCCCAGAATGTCATCTCTATATGGTTCATGTCAAAAGCTGCATTTACGTGAGTGTAGGCTTTTGCCAATTTGGATGTCATGCCTTGACAATTTTGTTCCTGATAAACACGTCATGCCAGTAAAGTTTTTAGAATTGAGACAAGAAGTCAAGCAGTGATGGAGGTTGTGAGAACAGAGCAACCAACAGAGCTGAGAGGGGAAAAGAAACAAATGCTGGTTTCCTTCAACACACACCGAAGCTAACAGGCTTTCACCATAACGACCAAGAAAGCAGAGAGAGGAGGTGGAGAAGTGGATCTTCAGATAAGGCTCTTGTCTCTTTGCCCATTGAAAGGCCCTGCAGTCACATCAGCCTTTGTGAGGGGGAGACAGAATGATCAGGCAAACAACTTGGCTTCTCCTCTTGGCAAAACGCTACTCCAAAGAAAAAGAGATAGAGAGGAAGAGAAAGAGGCCTTCCCTCGCACTTGTTCACTACTCTGCCTCTCACAATGCCATATCTACCCAAATCAACACACTTGTCAGCCAGAGAGCTATAAGCGATTTCCAATGCTGTTATAAAAGGGACCATTTCTAAGCTGAAATGTGTGTCCTCTATTGTGTGTTTATGTGTAGAAGCGAAGGCAGAATCTGTTCACTGGGGTTTACAATGGATGCAGATAAATATGAGAAGAGGAGCATAGAAATACGGTGCCTCTGCCCAATCTGATTCCAAGTCTACGACTGACGCTGATGCACCGCAAAAGACGTCCACCTTAAAGAACCACTTGATCTGGTATTGAGTCATCTTTTAGGAAACAAGTGAAAAATCATCCCAACAATATCATAAAATATGATCTTCTTTCCAGTGTTTCTTCTTTTCAAAGCAAATCAACTCGTTTCTATGATTTTTAGGACGTGAAATCCAGGGTGGCGAAGGCCTAGATCAGCTAATTTCACTCCTGCTCCTCAAGAAAACCACAGCTGGTTGGTTTTCTGTGCTACCAGACAGTTAATTGCAGCTAATTCCAGGTGTAAAACAGTGTCAGATTAAATGGCTCAGATGAAAACCAGCAGAGCAAAGAATCCTGAGTACCACAGCTAAAGCCAACTGACCTTGAGGAAAAGTATTATATATTCTTATTCCCTCTGTTGCTGAGAGTTAGATGAGAAGATCGATCCCACTCTCATTTCTGTCTGTTAAATAAGATGGTACAGCAAGCAGCCAGTTAGCTTCTCATAAGGACTGGAAACAGCTAGCCTGGCTCTGTCCAAAGGTAACAAAATCAATCTACCAGCATCTTTAAAGCTCAGTAGTTAACAGGTTTTATTCCATATGTTTATCTGTGCAAAAACTGAAATATAAAAACGACACTCTGCTGGTCCAGTATACAATTTATACAACTGTGATGTAGAAACTTGAAGCCGCCAGTGCACTGAGAATGGACTTTACAGCGAAGTAGGAGACATCTTGTGTCCAGCAGGAAAACTTTGCATATTCATAGATTCAGATTTTTTTATTTAGGTAGAAGGAGTAGATGCCTTTTTAAAAATTGAAAAGTATACTTTTTTTCCCCAGAAAAAAAAACATACAAGACACGCATTATTGTTCCAAGCAGAGTATTTGTATACATGTCTTAATACATGTCGGGAGGGGATCTTCAAGTAATTACTCTGTGCTGTTGGGGTCAGAGCTGCAAGCAAATCCAGCCATGAACTAACAAATGTTCAGTTCATGCAGGATTCAGTGTGACCTATCGCCCATGTCACACCCAACTGCACACATACTGTACACATATTTACACAAACACATGTCTCCGAGGGCCATTCTGAATTTGACTTTTAGTGTGTGACAATGACTGAGAACAAACAAATTTCGTCCTGTTGTGTGTGTTCAAACTGAAAATTTGCACTGTGGGAAAAAGCGCATGACTGATGACACAAGTCTATGTTTAGTCAATGCGGAAGGACTCTGACTTTATGTGTTCAAATAAATAGGAACTGCCACTTTTACAAACACAGTTATGAATTGTAAATGTAGATGCTATTTGCATTTCGACAGCAGGTATCATCATGATTAATTTGCAAAGCACGCAGGAAGAACTGTAGGTTAGGACTGAATTCTCCACTGAGTAATGCTGATACTGACTTATTTGTTAGACACACACACTATAAGAGAGAACAAATATTTATCAGAGAACAAATATTAGTTTTTTGTTTGCTTGTGTCACTTTGAGGAGCCATGTTTGACAAGCTTCTGGATTTGTTTTAATAATGACATTCATTATTCTTCAGTTTTTACAAAATATAAATTCAAGTAAAACCAAAATAACGTAATTTATTATTGTATTGTATGCTTTATCATTGTGGAACAAAACTTAGATAAACTAAACTTCACCAAAGCAAACTAGAAGGAGATCCTTTACTTAAGTAACACTACCAATACCACAGGGTAAAAATACTCACCTGAGTGATGTATTATCATATATGACATTCAGAGATTATGACTAATGCATCAATGTGCAAGCAGCATTTTGTTGTCATAGCTGGGTGAGGTGGAGCTACTTTATATAAAACTTTATATATAGTTTGGTAGTTTAGTCCAGTGATTCCCAGCCTAGAGGTTGGGACCCTCCAAAGGGTCACAAGATAAATCTGAGGAGATGAGATGACTAGTGGGATAGGAAAGATGAAAAAAACAAAAAGAAGTTCTGTATACATTAGTCTGTATTGTATTTCTTGGACTTTTGTCTAATCTTATAAACTTATTTAAAAGAAAACATGAGAATTTTATAGGGGGGGGGGTCTCTGTTTGGTAAGCTTGTGAGGCAGCTGGACTCACAACAACACATAAAATCACGCAATAATCTATCCTTCCAAGCTTCAATCTATGTGCTAAATATCATTTTATATGCTTGTGTTTTTATGTAAAATCTTAATCAAAAAAATACGTGACTGCAGCTGTCAGACAAATGTAGTAAAAGGACAATATTTAAAATTCTTAAATTATTTAGAATATAGTAAAGTAGAAGTATAGAGTAGTATGTTCTTGAGAGCCAGAGCTGATCCTACTGGTGTGTAATGGCCATGCCAGAGGCTGAGTATATGTGTGTGTGTGTGTGTGTGTGTGTGTGTGTGTGTAAAGCGAGACACCTGTTCACTAGAGCCCTCTGCTTGAAGCGAGCCACTCATTATTTATGACCTGGCTTTTCTGCTCTGTTAATATGCTCTGTCTGCTTGTACAGCACATACCCCCTCGCACACACTTAGAGAGGGGCATCAGTTTAACCACCATCACCACTGACTGTGACACAGTGTCAATATCCTCTTCTTGAGTGTGTGCGTGTGTGTGTTTCCAAACATGCTTTCAAACTATCTACCATGTTAAATGTTGATGGCTGATTTGCATGTGTGTGTGTCTTTTGCTTCCTGTCTACACCAGAAGTGGGAATGCGTTGCATTGCATAAGCAGATATCTTCTGCTGATTATCTTGTGCCTACATTTGATCAAATATCTGACCAGTTTTATAATATGACATACAGTGTTAAAGATTGCCAGACCTAGAAGAAATCGACTGACAAATATCAACCAATATCAATATATGTTACAGCTATAATAGTTGTAGTGACGGATCAGAATGTGTTGGTATATTATTAGAGCAACATCATCAATCATATCAGGCTCTTTAGCTGCTGATTGCGCCACTGTTCACCAGCTAGTTGCCATTTGGCGTGTTCCCAGCTCTGTCAAATTTGTAGCAGGCAGTGTGAACTGATTAGGACTTTTTAAAAAACAACAACTTTTCTTTACAATAGCCAGCAACAGTGACCGGACGTTAAGAGACAAAACCTGAAATATAACAGAAAAACAGGAAACATGCATCCTTTAATTTTTATACATTTAATTAAGTTCTTTACTCATTCATATTCTTTTTTTCGATTTTCCTTTTCTTTGTTTATTTGTTTGTCTGTCCTTCACCTTTTTCTCTTAAATTGTATTTTATCCTTTTCTGTCTTACCCCTTCCTTCCTCCCTTTCCTAATTTATTTCCTCTTTCCCTGCTGTCATTCCTCCTTTTTCTTTCTCTCTTCTGTCCCTTCCTCCCTCTTTCTCTGCAGCGCTGTTGTCCAAGGATAGGACATGCTGCAGGTGATGGAGGTAAATCATCGAGGACATAATTAAGAGGCTTATGAGGAGGAGTGTGCGTGTTATGCATCACATTAGAAAAAAAAAAAAAAGAAGAAACTGCATGCAAACAGGCCTTATAGTTACACAAACGCTCATTTTCATTCACAGACAAACACACAGACACTCAGCCTTAGGGGTTTGACCTTATACAGTGGAGTTAAATACCTCTCTCGCCTCATTTGGTTGTGTGGAGTACACACACAAACACACACA